ACTGTCGGCAGTGGCAGAACATGCTTGTCAGCAAGGACACTCAATTGATTTTGATAACGTTGAAGTGTTGTGTAAAACGAATTATTACTGGCAAAGACTAATTAGAGAATCTATTGAAATTGAGAGGAATTGAAATAACTTTAATCGCTCTGACAGCTACAGGCTTAGTGCGGCTTGGAAGCGTATTATTCAATAATACATATTACAATTTCATATAGAGGAAACACAAACTAATTAACGGATTACTAACGTAGCATAAAATCACAATAACACATCAACTAATTACTAATCTACAATTCATTACTAATCATAACCATTGACTGATTGCCAATCGATTATATAATTACAATCCCCCCCCCCCCTCCGCCTCAAATCACTGCACCTGAAATGAGTTAAATGATGAAGTCACCCTGCTGCTCTATTTAAGACCGGGAGCAAGCTAGGGCTTTACCATTCTGGCGAATTGCCCGATGCTGCTGGAGTAATTACCAGTGAAACGCGTTCCTGTTCCTGTTCTTCCTGATGCGCTACTGCGGCTCGTCGGTGTCCCGTGGGTTCTGCAGCCACCCCGGGGTGTGCGAGGGCCCCAGGCCGGGTGGTCTGGGGTGGCCTTACTGCCGGAGGGTGGGGGAGCCACAGGCGCCGCGGGAGGAGTGACCCCGCTGCAGCGAGCACATGGAGATGGCGGGGATGGAGACGGAGTCACGACGCACGTCGCAGACCAAGGAAGACGCCCGGGGTGCTGCAAGCGACCGGAGGAGCGGCGCGGGCCCGTCTGGTGCGAGGGTGATGTTGGGTGAGGTGCAACGAGGGAAGAGAGTGGAGGGGGTGGATGGGCTAGAGAGTGCGGGGAGGGAGGAGCGGGGAGGAGAACAAGGGGGTGCGCCGGGAGGATGGGGAGGGAGTGCCCCCGATCAGAATGGGGAGGAAGGGGCAGGAGAGGCGCCTGCAGCCCAGGGGCCGGGGGAGGGGCAGTGGAGGGAGAAGACTGCCGGCGCTGGCCCGGTGGGTGCGGGGAGGCCCGGCGGAGGAGCGGGGAGGTGGTGCAGCGGAGTTGGAGTGGGCCTGACCCCAATGGAGGCCAGGAGGCACAACTGCGTGCGAGTCGAATTCAAGGAAAATGTGGAAGAGGGGGTGACCCTGGACAGGACGACCTTTGTGAGGTCGGTGGTGCTTGGGATGCTGCGGCTGGAGGTGGAGGACCTCTATTGCTTGATTGCTCTGCCAGGGGGGAGGGCGTTTGATGTGAGCTTCAACTCCAACATTCTGCTGCAAAATTTCCTTGCCCGTTTCGAGGAGAAGGCAGGGGAGAAGCCGCTCACGTCTATGAGACGCGGTTACTGTCGGACCTGGAGACAAAGGTTGTGACCGTGTTCCTTTATAATGAAGCATTATATGATCAGGACGTGGAGGTGTGGCTGAGGCAGCATTATGTGGTTCTGTCGGGTTGCAAGCGGGTGCTGGATGCGGCGGGGATATGGACGGGGGCCAGACAATGGAGGGTGCGTTTGAAGACGGAGGGGGGGGGGGGGCACTGAGGCACGTCCCGAGCGCATTGAACATTGGGGGGAACAGGGGCTATGTTGTCTATACGGGACAGCCCAAACTGTGTAGGAGGTGTGGGGGAGGGGGGCACCTGGCGGCAGCGTGCATGGCACGCGTTTGTTACAGGTGCAGGGCGCTGGACCACACAGTGGAGGAGTGCAGGGAGCCGGCCTTTTGCAAACTGTGCGGCAGCAGAGGGCATTTGTATCGGACCTGCCCAGAGGCCTATGCTAACAGGGTGCGGGCATATCGGAGTGGACAGGTAGAGGAGGCGGCGGAGGAGGCGGCTGGACGGGAAGCGGGCCGGGAGCATGGAGGGGAAGGGAAAGGGGAGGTTGAGGAACCACGACCCCCTGGGGAGGGTGAGGGGGGGGGGAGATCTGTGGGGGAGGGAGCACCACCTCCACTGGAGGGGGAGGGGGGAGGAGGGGAGGGGAGATGGAGAAGAGGACTTGGAAACCCCAGTGGGGGACTGGTCAGAGGTGATGGGCGAGGTGGAGGGCGAGGAGGGGCAGCGGGTGGAGGAAGAAGCGGATGACGCATGGGAGGAATCGGGGGCGAGAAAAAGGAAGCTGGACAGAGTTCTGAAAGAAGCTAGTCCCCAGCAAGATGGGAGCCTTTCAGGATCCTCGCCGGATTCAGGGGAATCTGGGTGGAGGTGGGTGGAAGGGGGGGGGGGGACGTTGGAACCGGGGGAAGCCCCGGAGGTTGAAGGGGAGAAAAAAGGTGAAGGAGAAGGCGGACAAAGGCAGACGGGGGGAGCGCGCACCGGAGTCCGACACGGACTAATGCACGTCTCGGCATGGACATATCTGTAGCATCTGTTAATGTGAGAGGGATGAAGGGGAAGGGAAGGAGGGCGGCGATCATGCAGTGGCTGCAGATCACCAGACGTGACGTAATTTTCCTCCAAGAATGTCACCTACCCTATACCCTAGGGTCGGAGGCTCTGCTGGACGAATGGAAGGGACACTACATTTGGCCCGGCAGCAACGGGAACAGATGTACAGGCGTGGTTACCCTCCTAGGAAGAAGGGGAATGAGAGTGGAAGGGACCCAGGAAATAATACCGGGTCGGCTCTGTGTAGATGCATCTTATCAGGGTGTGGAGCTAAGGCTGATAAATATGTATGGCCCGTTACGATGTATGGACAGGACGGAGGTGTGGGAGAGCCTGGCGGGCCTACTGGCCACCAGGAGGCAGGTCATTGTGGGGGCGATTTTAACTGCCCATTATGTCTGGCGGATTTGGTGTCGGTAAAGGGGAGGAGGAAATTAGATTCCTCTTCCAGGAAACTGAGGGAGTTGATGGAGGACTTTGGGATGGTGGATACGTTCAGGAGGGTGCATGGCACGCGGCCAGGGTTCACGTGGGCGGATAAGAGTGGGGGAACACAGTCACGTATCGATTTTATTTTCGCCTCCGACAAGGTGAATGTGGGAAGTGCGGGGGCGGAACCTTTTCCCCTCTCGGATCACAGAATGGTGGTTGCGGGGCTTGTGATCCCAGGTGGGGTGAAGAGGAGAAGGGTGTGTGGAAGATGAATGTGGGCTTGCTGGTGGATCAGGAGGTGGCGGAGGACTTCACGCGAGCATATACCAGCTGGAGGATGCTGCAGGTGTGCTGATAAAGCATAGGATAAGAACGTTCTTTCAGCGTTATAGTAGGAGGAAGAGAGTGGGTATGGAATTGAGACAGTGGAACGCTAGGTTAGAAAGGCTGTATAGACTGCTAGAGCTAGGGTTCCCGGTGGGAGAAAGGATAGAGGAGTTGAAAGGGAGGGTAGCCTCAGTCCTGGAAAAGAGGACTAGGAAATTAGTGTATAGGGCGAGGGTCAAGGCAACAGAGGATAGGGAGCAGTGTACAATATTTTTCTTTAAGGCGGGTAGGGAGGGAGACAATGAAATAAGGGAGCTGGTTAGTCCTACTAGGGGTAGACAAGTGACGATAGAAGGGATTATTAGTGTAGCGGAGGACTTTTATGGGGAATTGTATAAGGGAAAAGTGATAGATGGGGGGCGGCGGGAGGAGCTGCTGGGGGCATTCGGGAAGAGGGTTGAGAACCCGGAGGCGCTAGGGGAGAGGATTCGACGGGAAGAAGTGGAAGGGGTGGTGAAGGGGCTGAACAAGAACAGGACCCCAGGCCCGGACGGGATGCCAGCGGACTTCTATATAAAATTCTGGGAACTCCTGAAAAAGGTTATTATGCAAATTTGTAGGGAAACTCTGGAGGAGGGGCGGGTGCCAGACGACATGCGGGAGGGCCTGGTCACGTTGATTTATAAAGGGAAGGGGGACCGTAGGGACCTGGGAAGTTGGAGGCCAATAACCCTCCTGAATGCAGACTACAAGATCGTGGCAAGGGTGGTCGTGGGGTGACTGGGGAAGGTGGTGGGTGAGGTGGTTGGGCCGGACCAGACGTGTGCGATCCCAGGGAGGAGGATCGCGGACACTTTGGTGGTTTTGAGGGAGGCGATTGAAGGCGAGAGAGAGAGGGGGTGCCTGTTAGGAATCCGAAGTCTGGACCTGGACAAGGCCTTCGACCGCCTTTCTCATGAATTCATGCTGGCGGTGATGGAGAGGATGGGGGTGAGTGGGCCCCTGGTGGAGTGGGTGAAGCGACTCTATGGGGGGCTCAGGGCCAGGCTCCTGATAAATGGGGAACGCTCCGGGATCATTCCAGTGGGATCCGGGGTGCGGCAGGGATGCCCGATGTCCCCAGTACTATTTGTCATGTGCATGGAGCCTCTGGCGCAGATGATAAGGAATGACCAGAGGATTAGGGGGGTGGTAATACCGGGGAGCAAGGAGCAGGGAAAGGTGACACTGTACATGGACGATGTGGCCGTTATGCAGGCACATGGCATCGGTATGTAGTGCAATGGAGGGGATGGGGAGGTTCTTTGCAGCCTCCGGATTGAAGGTTAGTGTGGGGAAAAGTGAGCTGATGGTTTTTGGAGACTCGAGGCTTTTTGAGGGTCGGCCGCCGGAACTGAGTCTACAAACAGAGGGGATAAAGATACTGGGGGTGTTCTTCTGTGGGGATAGGATGAGGGAAAATAGCTGGGAGAAGGGGGTGAGGAAGGTAAAGGGCTGTCTGGGTACGTGGGCTTGGAGGCTGCTCATGTCGGCCGGTAGGATTATGGTGGTAAAGACAGAAATATTACCATCCCTAAACTACTTGGCGCAGATTATCCCGCCAGGTGGGAGGGAGGCTAAGGCCTTGACCTCGGCGATTTTCAGGCTTATCTGGGGGGGAGGGATGGAGAGGGTGAGGAGGGCCGTGGTGTGTCTGCAGGTCCGGAATGGGGGGAGGGGTGCCCCAAATGTGGGGTATACCCTGCAATCGACTTTTGTCTGCAACGCGCTGCGGCTGTTCTTCTCTGTGGAGCCGCGGGGCAAGGCAGCGTGTTATATGAGGTATCGACTGACGTGGCGGTTGCGGGGGCTCGGGATGACTGAGATAGGAAGGAGCACTCCTTTGGACTGGCCGGGGGGCTGGGTCAGCGACGTGGTGAGGAGCTACGTCGGGCAGCACAGCCTGAACCGGTGGGGGGGCCGGTGGGCTCCCAGGGAGGTGCGGGCTGCGGTGGAGAAGGAGGAGGCCTGTGACGAGCTGGCCGGTGCGAAGAAGGAGATGCACGGGAAGATTTGGCGGAATGTTTTGTCAGCAGCGCTCACGAAGGAGCAGAGGAACCTGTCATGGCTGGCTGTCCAGGACAGGTTGGAGACGCGGGGTTTCTTGTACAGCCGCCAAATGGTGCATACCCCCAAGTGCCCGAGGGGCTACAACGCGGACGAAACTGCAGCGCATGTGATGGTGGCGTGCCCTTTTGCCCAGGAGGTCTGGCGGAGAAGTAAACCGTTGCTGGCCCGTTTCGCGCTGTCGAGGGTGACGGCACGGGACGTCATGTGGGGAGAGCTGCGGGGGGTGGGCAGGGAGGACAGGGACCAGGTGTGGGCTGTAATAGGAGCAACGAAGGAGTTGCTGTGGAAAGCGCGAAAGAAGGAGCTGGAGGGGTCCCTGATGTCCCCGTTGGAGACATGTTATGTTGCGAGGAGATTGTTGGAAAGGGTGGTGGAGGTGGACCGGGTGAAAATGGGGCGCGATACCGCAAGGGAACGATGGAAGTGGCCGCTGTCCAGGGTGGGCTAGGGCGTCCGGGGGGGGGGGGGGGGGGGGGGGGGGGGGGAGGGCGGGGAGGGGGGCCTCGCCGGCGTCCAGGGGTGAAGGTGTGCGTGGCTGGAAGAGGAGGTTGCCCCTCCAGTGCTGTAGCAGGGGTGACTCCGGTCCAGAGGATGGGTCGGTGGCCGAGCGGGGCCTTTATGGCGCGAGCGAGGGGCGGCCCCTCGGTTTTGCTTTGTTTTGTTTTTGTTGTCTCCGCTGAGATACTGAATAAAATTTTAAAAACCGTAATTACCAGCGAAACGTCGTACTCAAACTGTAAATGTTGTGGATTCACTCTTCAACACACCGGTGGGCTAAAGTAGTGAACTATTTGTCTTTTGTCAACGTTACAATTTTTTTGCTGATTGGCCGTGTCGGGTGGTGGAGGGCTACGACACATTTATAAATAACGCGATCTAACCCAAAAACCTCTATTATGAACATTCTTAATTTATTTCCCTCCACCTTGTCCGGGGCCATGACAATGACAATTCACTCTTTTATGCTGTTGCATGCAAATGCATTGACTCATTTATACCAGGATTCCAAATCTACATTTTCTGAATGCATTAAAAATAATTGCTTGACACCAGTGAATGATTTCTGCTTTCAGGTCTCTCAGCAAGAGCTGGTCGTACGTGGGGAGGCAGGGTGGAGGCCAGGATCTGTCCCTGGTACCCGGGAAGGTGACCAAGGGCACGGTTCTGCACGAGTTGATGCACGCGCTCGGCTTCCACCACGAGCACTGCCGCAGCGACCGTGACGACCACGTCTGGGTGCTGAGCGAGAACATCAAGGAAGGTGAGAAGGCGTTTGTGACTCCATCCCACGGTGCAGGCTTAGCACCGCTCGTGACAGCTGCTTCCGAGCTGCGACTGGTGCCATGAGTGCCGATCCTCCATTCCTGCCAGAGTGGCTGGGCACTCGCGGTGCACTCATCTCTTATCAACTGTCCGTAAAAAGCGGAACATGAGCTATTTTATAACACAAGCACATATACTACGTCTGCACCACAACATTATGTTACAAGTGGTTGAGTTTGTAACAAGGAGAAATATGAATTCTAAGTTTTTTTAAGTATTAAATGGTGAACATTGTTTATTTTTTAGAATGGAAGAGTCAAATCGTGAAGATGAAATCACATGCGCATGACGTGTCCACCCCCTACGACTGCAGCTCCATCATGCACTACAGCATGTACGTACCAGCCCAACCACTCCCTGTATGTGCGAGTCCTTTACATTCATTATACTAGTGTCTTATACAATTGTAATAAACGACTTCCACGACGGTTGTTGACTGGCGTCCTTTTTATTAATATAACTCTGCACAGCTCCGCTTCTTCTCTCTCCGGGTATTTCCCCTCTCTCGATCTGCCCGTACAAGCCTCTCTCTCTTTCTCCGATGTGGCACGCCTCTCTCTCTCTCCCCGATCCCGCCGCTGGCTGGTGGCATGCCGGGAGGAGAGGTTGCTTTCTGGGAGCTCGCCACGTGGTCGTGGGCGAGGAGAGGTTGAACGGTGATGCAGTCCGGACCCGAAGCTTCCCACACCGACCAAGGGTCCTCTCACTGCCTCCCCTTATATTCCTCTCAGTGGAGCAAAGCTCCGCCTCCAGCTACGCCCCCTTGTGGAATCTTCTAGATGGATCTTGTACATTCCTTCTAACTCCGCCTGTCACCCTTGGCCCAGATGGAATCCCCACTTAGAATTGGATGCCAGTTTCTCAATGGTGACTGTGCAGATACACCTCATCGCCCTGTAGATGGCGTTCTCTCATTACATATTCATTATACTAGAGCGTCTCATACGTTCCCTATACTACACCACGTGAGTGGTTGTATGTGTTATACATTTCCTATATCACGGTGTGTCTTACACATTCCCTGTACTACAGTGTACCTGTGTTATGGGGGTAGGTGTAGGTCTCCCCCTTATATTCTGCCACATCCACTCACACGGTCTTTCCAGTGCTCACCCTGGATGAAATAGAGCCCAAGCTGCAAAATAACCTCTCTTTAATAACACCAAAACCACCACGAACTTAAGTTGTTGAGTGTCGGTAGAGAATTCCTAATCCTGAGTGGCAAGGTGCATCAGGGCAACAATAAAAACAACTTCCCACGACATTCCCACACAGTTGTATTCACCCGTCACGCAAGTTCACAAGAGTTCCATGTCCGTGTGGTCGCTCGCTCTGGATAACACGAGTTGCCAGGGCACAGTCCAAGGTGCAAGGGCACAGCTCCTGCAGAAAAGGCCCTGAGTGGACGATGTACGTTAACTGCACGCTGGGGCGGGTAATATATGCATGTAAGCAGGGGCGGTTGGACTCCACTTATAAGATTTGCTTTGTCAAGAGCACTGAGCTGAACCAAGCACCAGGGTCGCACGTGTCTGGATGATCACCGTCAAAGGCAAGTCACAATCTCACCAGCACCCACGACTGAGCGCCACTGGGAGCACACAGTGGCTAAGAGCACCTGACCATGTGAGATTCAGCCTAGGGTCTAGAGTTACGCCAAACCTGTAACCAAAGAGATAGGTCGCTTTGTATTTATATTCCTGAAATTCCCTGCTCCCTGTCACACTGGGGCACGGTTGCAAGGTAAGCAATTCAAGGACTCAGGACACATTGTTACTCCAGTTTGTTGTCACTCTGTGACTGTGGTTCTTTGTCACACTGCTAAGTCGAGTTCGGCTTGAAACCCTGGGGCTCACTGGTCACTGTTCTCGAAGAATCTTTGTCACCCAGGGACGTGCGGTCAGGGGAGGCAGGGGAGGCAGAGCCTCACCTGTCATACTCCAATGAAAATAGCTGTTACGAAAAGTAAAAAAAAAAATATTAAGATTTTTCCACTGATCTGTGTTATAAATGTCATTTATGTACGATTCCAATCATTTTTATAGTCAAAATCGCCAAATTTGCGGCGCTCCACTGCAAATACAGGAAGAGACGAGAGGTGAGGCAGCGACAAGCTCAGCCTCCCCTCTGATTGCACAACCCCTCAGTAACTGGATGGAGCGTGGGCAATAAGCGCGTGCCTGTTACTATCTCAGTATGTCACCAATGTAATGTTTGTAGACCCCTTAATTTCATGTCCTTGCCTTCCATACTCCAGGTAACTTATTTCACGTACGTGTATAAATATATTTAGGCTCGCTGGTCTCGTCATGAAACTGCAATGAAAAAGCACCAGGAGAGGCAGCTATCAGTGAGACCACGCCCCCTCCGTGAGGCCACGCCCCCCTCTGTGTGACTGGCTCTGACACTAGCCAGTGCCTCCCCAGCCATTGAGCTCACCGCACGTCACCGCTGTCACCGTGTGTCTATGTTTATCTCCGTGTCCTCTTGTGTGTTTCTCTGTCTCCACGTCTTTGTGCCTGTCTCACTCTGTCTCTATCCAGTCCTCCGGTCAACAGCCTTGAAATGACAACTAAACGCTGCGTCCCTAAACAATTAACATCAGCGCACTCAAAAAGTATTTCCTCATCTAAATCCCTGGGCTGCAACTAGGAAAGAACATTTAGGAATTAAAATTCTCAGCTCCCAGCGCTTACTCAGTGGAGACTGCATTGAGCGGTGCAGTGTCAAGAAAGCAGCCCAGAGGGAGCGCCTCTTTGTGCGTTGAGATGTCTCAGCGGCAGGGAGGGTGTCCAGGCGAAGTCGGACTAGCAAGGTAGCGAACAGACCACGCCACAGGACATTCAACGATGTCCTGGGAGGCTTGGCTTAACTCACAGCCTTCTTCTTGGGCATCGGTGAGGATCGTCCCCTCACTAACTTTACCTTGAGGCCCCGGCCTCACTGGTAAGTAGTTCCTGACTTGCAATACCCTGGTGTCTACAAACTAAGTTGCATCTGTGGTGATTGTTACATTGGGGAAACGAAACGTCATGTCTCTGACCGTATCTGCGAGCACATGTCAGATCTGAAACACGGCAGGACGAATTCCTCCACCGTTGCTGATAATTGCTATAATGCTGTGGGCTCTCATGATATTGTCTTTTCCGAAACCAAGGTGCTCTGCAAGCCGTCTGGCTACTATCAGAGATTTGTTCATGAAGCCATCCAGATATATAAACATAGACATAACTTCAACCGAGATGATGGATACAAATTGAGCAATCATTGGAAAGATGTTATTAACCAAGTAAAAATGTAATTGTTCTTAGTTGCTCTATCTTATTTACCTGGTACTAGTCTATTTTACCGAGTTAATTGTATCCTCAGCGTTCAGCAATGCGACTATTTTGTTTTGGGCTCCACTATCATCTTTCTTGGCAGCAATCGTGTTGCCGTTTGCTCCCCCCCGCGCACCTCCAGGAATCACAGCCTTTAATTTCTAGCCCCGCCCACTTCCCCCCCACCCCCCACCGTCTCGCGTCCCATTACCGAGCGTACACGCAACGCTCACTCACTCCCTGTTCTCCCCCACCCCCACTCTCCCCCCGCCTCTACCGCCCTCTCTGCCTCTTACAGCCTTCCTAACTCCGGCTTCTCTCCCACTTCAGTAAACATTTTCTTACTGTGGTTATCACACCAGATGATGATTGCTTGTGTTGCAATCGAAACGTCGTGATTTAATTTACTATTATTTATTTTTATTTAATTTTTCATCTACGTGACTTTACCGAAAGAACCATGAAAACTTCAAATCTATAATGAAGTAGTTTAACTTTCACCATTCTCCAGGCTCTTGCAGCCGGGCGAGCAGCACTTGCCTGCCCCGGTGTCAGGGTGCTGCCACCCGAGCCCAAGTCCTGCCCCGCTTCTCCAGCGCTCTCCCCTCTGCTCCCGACTCCCCCTCACTGGGGTGGAGCGCTCAGCCGGCCTGACTCTCCACCCTGCCCGGCATGGGGGGACCCCAGTGGCCGCCAGCCGCGACCAACTGCAGTAGACTAGAGACTGTGTGTTCAACATGACTTATACAGTGTGTGTCTCTATTATACATTCTATATACTGCGTGTGGGTGTCAAATACATTATCCTACAACGTGTGTGTCAAATGCATTATCCTACAACGTGTATGTCATACATCCTACAACTTGTGTGTGCTTACGCATATACATCCCCTAAGCTACAGTTTGTGTGTCCCACCATCATTCCCAGCACGTCCTGTATTGTAAATAAATATATAAGTACGCGTGTTTGCATTGCTGGAGTGATGATGGATTATATTCGACTAGCTTTACAACCCGGCTTCGCCCGGGACTTGGATTCACCACGCCCGGCCGCCTTTGTCTCCCCAGTGGCGATGTTCACACACCACACCAGTTACTCGTTTGAGGCTGAGTCGACCTAGGGGAGGCCCATGACCGGTTCAAATAATCGTCACCTGTGGTGGCTGTGAGCGGGATTCGACCTCGGGTCGCCGGGTTCGTCGCGCAGCGCGCTAAGCACTACGCATGCGCGGGTGACATGACAGATCTGACGTCACAGCTCACTTGCCGTGCAAAAAAATATTCATTACTGCGCACCCCCCCCCCCCCCAAAAAAAATACAAAAGTCTATTTTTCTAATTTTTGCATGGTGTACAGTCTGGGAAGTACCCACATGGCAAATTTCAAGTTTGTTGCATGTCGGGAAGTACGCTAAACATTTTGAACAGTCACATTCACAAATTTCCCTTTTATATCTCCACATATAAAAGGCAAATTTGTGAATGTGTGTCTGTTCAAAATGTGTAGCGTACTTCCCAACATGCAACAAACTTGAAATTTGCCATGTGGGTACTTTTCAAACTGTACACCATGCAAAAATTCTAAAAATAAACTTTTTTTGGGGGGGGGGGGTCAATAATGCATACTTTTTTTTGCACGGCAAGTGCGCTGTGACGTCAAATCTGTCACGCGACCCACGCATGTGGAAGCGTAACGCATCGTAGTGTAGTGGTTAGCGCTACGCTGCGCTATGGACTCGGCGACCCGAGTTCGATTCCCGCTCACGGCCACCACCGGTGACGATTATTTTAACTGGTCCTGGGCCTCTCCTAGGTCGACTCAGCCTCAAACGAGTAATTGCTGTGAGGACACAAAGGCGGCCGGGCGTGTGCCTTGCCGGCCTGTCTCCGCTCTTGCGAGGGATTTGCCTCTCGAACGGTGGCCTTCACGTACACAAACAATTGGCAGCCAGCACGCCCTAAGCCCCGCGGTGGGAATAGGCTATTCCCTTTTCACGTCCGTCACCTTTACATTAG